CTCCCGCTGCCACGGGGGAACCTGCGGAGGAGACGCAGTCCTGCAGCGCGGGCCGGGGGAGATCAGGGAATACAACAAGGCCTGCCGTGCAGGAGTATTCCGGCTCATACTYGGTAGGAAACCATAGTTTAAAGCCCTGATATTGGGACAGAATTGAGGAACACTGCTCCGTAACTGCTACTTTCCATTAAAAAATACAGCAGCAGAAAAAATGTACGAAGCTAGTGCAATCCTCTGCTACCAATACGTTGTTTGCCTCTCGATAAAAACTTCTSCCCAACTCACACCCTCCAGAGACGGGGCAAGACCACAGCTTAGTCGCCCCTAGGCAGCATTCCCAAGATAAAACCAGGTCTGAAACTTGGGTGAGCGGCATAAAAGTCAACTCACGGCCCCGAAGAACACACACCTGCAGCTATTATGGAATTGATCTGTTTGCTCTTGTAATTACCCACACTATGTTTGGGTAATTATGCAGCTAGAAGTTAATGAGTAAAGATAATGAGACAGATYGTGCCGTCCGCTCTAGCCCTGCTCTAGGAGCCCCTGCCCAGGAACCCCATGGGGACAGGGGTTGATCCTGGTCCGGACAAGGCTCCAGTCGCCAACAACGGGTGGCAAGGGGGAGGGGGTGCTCTCTCCCAAACTTGCAGCCCGGGAGGATGCTGGAGGGAAAAGCCCCCAAACGCGACCTGCCGTCCCCTTTACCCACCGGCAACGGAGCCCACACGCGGCAGTAACTCCCGCCCTCGCTTTTGCCTCCAGGGCAAGAAAAAAACCCCAGTGAATAAAAAAAAAAAAAAAATAATAATAATAATAAAAAAAAAACAAGGCAGGGGACGCGCAAGGGCCCCGCACGACCAGGCTCCCAAAGCGGCGCGGCCGGCTCGGGGGCGCCGCTCCCGGCCCCGTTCCCGCTCGCGGCCCGCGCCCCTCGCCCGCCGGCGCGCCCCGCTCCCCGCCCCGCCCAGCAACACGCGCCGCACGTGGCGCGCAGCCAATGAGAGCGCCGCCCGCGCCCGCGGCAGCCAATAGGGAGGCGAGCAGGGCGCGGGCTGGCGCTGCCCGCGGGAGGAGAGAGGCAGAAAGGCGGGAAAGGGCGGCGGGAGCCGCGTCGCTGCGTCACGCGGGCAGGGCAGCGCCGGCCCCGCCCGGACTACGAGCCCCGGCGTGCCCCGCAGCGCGCAGGCGCGGCGCGGCGCTGCAAGGCATGCCGGGAGCTGTAGT